ATGATACAATCTCCACTGGAGATTTTTCTTTATAAAGAAAAATGTATCTGGCTCAGTTGGTGTTAAATGTGACTCTTCCTGGAGGTAGAAGAATGAAGTAGATCACATTTTAAGGAGTTTTTAAAGTTGTAGTAGAAAATAAATCCAGATTTAAATGGTTCTTACAGTAGTTAATAAAAATATTTACCAAACGACTATTCTAGCACTACTAACATTATAGTGATCTCACATTTTACAAACCTTTAAAACATTTCACAACATTTAAATTTACTTGAAATATAGTTCTCACTATCCAGTATATATCTCTCTCACTGTGTATATGTCAGGAAACAATTCCTGAATATTCTCTAAAATGGATTCTGAACTATTCATTCCTTAAGTAAGGAATGGTATATTTTAGTAATAATAACAGTGATAATTAAATAATAAGCAATGATAAAATCATGTTTACTCACTTAAATAAAATAAGTACGTAGGTGAAGAACAATCTCAAAAATCAGGGAGCAACATTACCCCAGCTTTGTGGTTGGGCACAGATTCCATCATGGAATCAAAGTCTCCACTAAATATTTAATGAAATGCGGCACAGTTGCAAGGAGAGAGATTTACTAGTTGATGCAGAATGGTTAAACAGTGGCAAATGCTCGTTTGTGAGGTCTGTACCCAAAATAATTTTGTTTACTTAAAAGGCAAACAACAATTTTATCCTTTTAATAGTACTAATCATCAGGTTGGTTTCCTTAGATGTTTGGAATACAAGAGTGGCAGAATATTTCATCAAGCATCTGTAATACACTGATTTTGTACAATACAGTAATAGGAAGTTTGGATCCTTCTTTTGCATAGAGAAATGTGATGTCTCAGGCTTAGTAGAGCACCTGCCGGGCATGTGTGTTTGCTCTCTTCATTTTTATAGGGCAGGGAATAGACAGTGATGAGGGTGAAAGCTGACCCAAGGTCATATGGATGCTTGGGCTGAATAAGAAGAACTGAGAGCTGATTTATAAGACTTTTCCCAGTAACTGTCTTAGATGCTATTTTGCATTTATGTGACTATTAAAACCATGTTATAAAGGTCACTATGAGCATGGTGGGCGGTGTCCCTGACTGGATCTAACTGTTAGAAATACACCCTGGATAACTGAGAATGTAGGATGATCCTCAAAGTTTATGTGGGATTGATTCACAGAAGAGATTTTTTTTTAATTTCCCAAGATTTCCAGGGCTGATCTAAAACGTAATCAAGATGTAGCTACTTCCAGTTCTAATGTTCTTCTATTCTCCTCCCTTCCTCATGGTTCAAGTAACTCTTTCCTGTTCGCCACTTAAACTTCCTGTTCCCTCCACCACAGAGTCTTTGTGCCTCTTGTTGTTATGGCTGGAACTCTCCCATTTTTGTCTTCCCATGGCTTGGTCCCTTCTTCTTCTAGTATTGGCTGACATCTCACCCTCTTGGTGACACCTTTCCTGGATATCCTATGAAACCACAATAAACCTAACCCAGCTATCTCTTATCATCCTTCCTTTTTTATGTACCAGCATATCACTACTTTTAACATGCTTTATTACCCTACTAACTTACTTTGATTGTTGTTAAGTCTCCGATCACTAAAATACAAGCTTCATGAAGGTAGGGATGTCTGTTTCCTGCCCCTGGATCCAGTTGTAGCTCTCCTACTATTGAGAACAATCTTTTTGATGTTGTGGGCAAATCATTCTACATTGGATTTATTGCTTACAAGAAGCTTCATAAATTACTCTTGTAGATCATATATACCAAATTTGAGTTACTGGGCCTAACATTTTAAAATCACTTCCAGATTTCTATGCAGGCTGGGATATAGAGTTTGGGCACAAATGGTAAAATCGGATGATTTAGTGACAGTAGGACAGTGAGTCAAAAATCAGATGGTTCTGTAAAATCTAGAACTTACCACTGCTAAAGTGAGCCTGGACAGACAATAAGTTAAATGACAATAGAAATCCTTTAATTCCCTAAAAAGGGGTACTGTATCTCACGTGAGAGCTGTGACAGTACAGAAATTCTTGAGAAGTCAACATTCAAAGATTCCTTCAAATGAAATTTTAATTACCTAGTTTATTTAAGAGGATAAGTGGATAAAAGCTTACTTCACCAACATACATGAATGTATTTTCTGTCCCTTCTACATATTTATTATATACATCTGTATTATTGATATATATAATTGATATATATATATAATTGATATATCTATCTATATATATCTATCTATATATATGACATGTGCATATCATTTATATATAGATAACAGGAAAATAAATTCCTCTGGGTTTCTGTTTAAAGACTCTCAGTGAAACAATTATTGTTTTTTGAAATCAACTCTCTTTAGCAGTATTTTCCTTCTGGTAATGGAAATTAGTTGATTGTAGATTAGGCAGAAATGAATCAATGTGGAAGACAGTTCAGCATGAGCATGAGATTAAATGAAGGCAAAAAAAATGAAACTTTAGGCTATAAAATTGTCATCTTCAGCATGTACATATTTGATGCTTATGAGGCAAAGTGATTAATTACCTGAGTTTGACTAAAATCAACAGAAGGTAACATGTTGAGACCCAGTAAGACTGCGTGTTGATCCCACAATCACATCAGCTTCAATGGTCTCCATACGCTTTAATTTTACACTTCTCAGTAATTACATTTTTTATAGGTTGACAGGGATAATTAATCTTGAAGTTCTAAGACAGTCAATATACCTTCATAAGGAAAGAAAGAAATTAAACCCCAAGATTCCACCCAAATCTAGCTGCTGCCACAGAGAACTACGAATACTTACGGGTTGACCCACTGAGGCTTTTGACAGTGACTTGGGGGTATTCTTTTCCCTTTGAACGAGATTAGTTAAATTTGGGATAGTTTCTCTGAGATCAGTCATAGAATGTGAGAGTTAAAGACAAGTGTCCCCTCTCTCAGAATGAAGAATCCAGAAGCGCTACCACTGCGTTTTTCTGGGAGCTGATGATCCTTCTGTGTCTCTGGAGCAGGCACAATATGTTCACAGAGCTCCTCTCATCCTCTTAGTGCCTGGCTGGGTGACTGTTTGCTTCCTGCCTCCTCACTGGACGAGTCACAGGCTTAGGAACAGCTGTTCACAGTTAAACTAATTATCATTTGTCGACAGCCCCCAAATTTTGTGTTCACGTAAAAGAAGGTGGCTAGGCCCCCATGCACATTGGAATGTGTGTTCATTTGTGTGACCCTTTTAGTTTGACAGAACATCTTTAGGATTAGATTTTTTTTCAAGCAGTGACAATGTCTTTGGAAAACTGTTGCCAGTCAACTTTCTAATATTTTTCTCCGAACTCATTTGCATATGATGTTGGGGGGATTTTCCCCCCTTGGATTTTGACACGCCGCATAAAAATGAAGGGCAAACAGCAAAGAATAAAATGAACAGCAGATGTATGAGTGCAGGCCTCTAAAACCAAAGAGGCAGTGACTAAAGTGGAGGTTCTTTGGGCAGTAAACTTTATGACTAAGGAATCTAGTCATTTAATTCTTTGGTTAAAATGTGTCTTTCCTTACATAAATAGTTTAAAGGGCTAAATATGACTTAGAGGATCAGCTTTAACTTATTAACGAATCCTCAAGGTTGTGTCTATTTATTCCCAATCAAAGTTCAGGCAAAAAGTGAATTTGTCTCCAACTTGCCAGGTAATTGAGGGAAAAAGTGATTTTATATTATCTGGACAGTTATTTCTGAATTTTTCTATTGAAAATTAAAAATTAGAAGTTGAGGATAGGAGAGACATATTTGGAAAATGTATCTGATTCAATTAGACTTTTCAGTTAAAGTCAAATTCTTCTAAATATTTTTTTAAATAAAAATATTTGCTTAGCATTTAGGCACCAAATAAATAATGCAACATGTAGAACAGTTTGTTTGAATATGTTTCTTGAAACATTGTTTATAATGAGAAACATTTGGGAAATAATTTACATATTTCATAGGAGAATAGATAAATAAATTATGAGAAATTTGATCCAATAACCATTTTAAGTATTTATGAAGACTGTGAAGGAACATATACTATGCTTATGATGAAATAGCTGAAGAAAACACAATGTTATCATTGAAAAACAAAAAAGAACAAGAAACCAAGATATAGAGATGGGATGTACTGATTTCAAGTTTATTTCTTTGTATGTCCAGCTTCCAAAATCTTTATGATATACCTATAAATTTATTGGTTTAATTTGAAGTAATATATTAGAAAGATTTACTTTTAATCTGAAAATAGACTGTGAAAACTTCACTGATACAATCTAAAAAATCCTGGAATTTAGTTCTTTTTTAAGCTACCTGAGTTTAAATAAAAACAGGTTTGGCAAATATATTTTTGAGTTCTCTACTCTCCTACCCTCCAATTTGTTCAATATTTGAAAGTTTTGGATAAGCCTATAATGTGCAATTTATTCTTGTAACACTGGGCCTAATTTTTCTCTAATCCTTCCCATTTTAAAAGTTAACAAGAAATGAACAGGCAAATAAACCTTCACCTAATGAAGAAACACTATGAATAAGGACAGACATCCATAGAGTGTTTTTCTTTGTTTTGATTTTGAACTAGCAAAAACTCCACTTGGCAAGTTCAAAGAGGATTTATTTGTATTAGGAATAAATATGAGAAAAGGAAAAACTGGAAACAAAGTCTTCATAAACTGGGAGGGGTGGAGGGGTTGAAGGGAGGGCAGGGGAATGAGGAAAAATAAGAACCAAGATACATCATGTAAAAGTACAAATTCCCAATGATGAATATCATCATATTGTATACCTAAAATGTACCAATAAACTTAATAAAAATTTTTCTTTATGTAAGTGAAGTTTAAACTATACTACCTCCTTCAAAGACATCATTTCTGAAACACACAGCAATTAAAGATATGAACAAGGTGCATATTTTAGTTGCCAGTGGATAAAACTAGCAAATTTATTATTTAGGTGAAGTGGGTCAAATCATGTAAATTAGAAGTACTTACATTTAAGATATGCAACAAAGGAATCTTGTTTTAGGGAGATGTGAAAGTAAGTAGAAACATAAAAGTTGCTCTTAAATTTTTCATGAATAGTTCAAGTTCAGAATTAATGCCATTCTTTTCTTTTTACTTTTGCGCTATGAAATGATTTTGCTTTTTCTTCTGAGGATATAGGGTCATCCAACTCCCCCAGGGCTGAACCAACAGAGCTGCTTGAATACAGACCTTAATTAACAAGTGTCTGTGAATATTCTGTGAACATAGTAACACTGATTACTCTAGACTGTGCTTCTCTAACTTTGATGTGCACACTAACCACCCAGGGACAGAAGTAAAATATGGATCCTAGTCAGTAGGTCTAGGGTGGGCGTGCTCTAAGACAACAGATTTCTAACAAGCTCCCAGCTTATGCAGTGAAACTGCTCAGTAACAAATCTTTGATTAGTATCGCTCTCTAGCATATCGAGAAGCAAAGTCAAATGCATTTATGAAAGAGAAATGGAGGAGATAATTGACTGAGGTACCCCAGAGCTCTTTCTGGATGTTAATGAAATAGCTGGCCTTGAACTCCAGCCGACTGCTGGTGTATCTTCACCTGAAGATAAAATGAGAACTAGGTAAGTATATCTAGTTTAGTTGTTGCTGAAGAGGCAAGAACTCAAGAATTGTTTTTCCCTTTCTTTGTGTAAATTACCACATGAAACTGTTAGGTAACATGACCAAATAATGTTTCAGATCCTAAGAGATGGCAGCTTGTACTTTCTATTTCTTAGGAACCTAGTTTCTAGAAAGCCAGGCATCGTTTTATTCAGAATCCAATGGCAGTTAGAGAATAGGGCATGGGAAAAAAGTAAAGATACTACTTTTAAAAATATGAAATCTGTTTTGCTTTTAGAATAAGACTAAATAAATTCAACTCAAACACCAGAAAGATAAACTTTCCAAAAGAGAAGTCGCGGAAAGTACAGTGGAGGGATTGGAGTTGGGGTGGAGCTAGAGTTGGAGCAGGAAGCCAATGACAGGAGGCCAAGAAAGGAAGGTAGACGCATCAATATGCATTCAGGGGAAGAAAGTCCCTGAGAAGTTTCTAGAGATGGGAATGCCCAAAAGACTCCGAACAGAGCTGTGAAACATCCAGTTTTAAATTATTTGCCATGCACTGTTTAAGTGACATAAATTTTCTCTGTGACCCCAAGGCAATGTGTGCGGGACATATCCAGCCTTGTGTAGGAATTACTATGGGATATAGAGGATGCCGGTAGCGTCTGCCGTGACGGTTCCGTGCTGCAGAGAAAGGAAGCACATGCCGAAGGCAAGGCCTGAACAGACCTTGGAGAATTCAGTGGGCCATTAGTGACCGGGGAGACTCAATTCCCCAAACAATTACAATCCCCAGAGCTATAAGAAGAGACACAAGGCTTCCCATCATGGAGGTAGGGGAGGTTATAAGCATTTTTCTTAGCGTTTTAAAAGGTTAAGGTAACCCCAGCAAATTAAAACAAGGTGCTAGTGGGGGAAGTGATAATGCAAATCAGTGAAGAAGGGAAAGACAAGCGATTAGAAATCCAAGAGAAGACAATGCACTTAGGTTTTAAACTATAAGTGAGCAGGGGACATTTGGAATTCGAACAGCAAGTTGAGCTAAGACGGGTAGATTTCATTTTGGCAAAAACTGATAGGATAGAGAAATAAATGGGCCATTCATAACACTTTTTCTTCAAAAGTATTACAAGATTCAAATATTTCCTTATTCCCCAGTAAGTTTTTACCTGAAAATTTTACAATATAGACTTAGAATAATAATTCAAGCCAAGTTTTCAATTTAGGCTCGTAACTTCAATCTTCCTTAATAAAATACCTTCTTCAATTACAGTGTATGAGACAAGTTTTAAAAATTATTTTATTTTTTATCTGTCCATGCTTGCAATATGTAATGATTACATTCATCGTGGGGAATTTGGACCTGTCCATGATATATCTTAATTATTTTTTCTCCATTCCTCTTCCCTCTCTTCAACTTTTTCCCCTCCCCATTTGCTAAAGCTCGGTTTACATTTTTCCTTCAGTTTTCTCTCTCTCTCTTAAGTCCCTTTTCTCTTTTTTCCCTTTCCTTTTCCCTCTGAAAAAGTTCTTCCTACTTCCCAGTGTTTATCCTCTGGTTTGCTCTTTATTTATACTTTGGGTTTTGCACACAACAGAAACAATGTGATATTTAAACTTGTGTATCTGATTTATTTCACTTAAAATAATGGTTTCTTTACCTAAAAATGTCTCAAGTTTATCCTTCTTTATGGCAGAATAGTACTATACCCCACTGTGCATAT